TGAAGATGCATCAGAGATGATGGTGGATTTGGTTAAAGCACATGACAAAATACATGAGCCAGGACAGAAAAGTGCTGTAAAAATGCTCAAAGCAGTCAGCCTTTCCTTAATACTTTATAAACCATTACTTCAATTTACTTTTAAAATCTCCGAACTCAGATTTGACAGCTAAATAACCTTCTTGCATAAAACCTGTTAATTCCAAGTGTGTAATTTCATAATCTTAAAACAATATCCAGATCATACTGTATGTATTATACCACCACATAAGACATAATCAGTCTAATCCAATAACTCCTGAACAAGAGCCTTGCACAAAACTTTGACTGCAGATTAAAATACTTATTGTTAGCTTCAAAATAACAATTAATAACAAAATAGTGACAGCAGTTTGCATTTAATACGTATATGATGTAACATAAAACAAAGAATTTGACTGTACTTAATTTCAAAGCACAAATTGCAGTATTTTGAAAGGCAAAAATGAGCTATAAAAATAAATATAAAAACAAGTTTTTTTTTTGGCTTCACTTGCAGGATTTAGCCGCTAACTTTTAACTCTGCATTTCTTTTTGAAGATGTAGACCCCCAAATCCATTTATACTTCATGTACATTTAAAGTACAGACTGCAATTTTGCTGAAACACTGAGGAAGCATTTTGATAAAATATTTTAATTATTAAATGTAAAATAATACATAGAATTTGTAAAAATGCTTTTTCTCACTTAGAAGTACATTTTGAAAATACGCCATCTAACTACATATGGTGATGCAGCACTGCTTTGGAGATTTCACAAAATTTTTAAATTTCATAAGTTATTGCCACACAAAGTCATCGGAAAGTTCAGCACTGGTGATCAAAAATCCCATATTTAACAATTATAAATTGATTTTGGATTATCTATGGAATATTAGCAGCTAATTCTTTTACTATAATGCATTTCTTGATGAGTAGATTCATATATATCTTTTGCAAAAAATGAGAATTTAAGGTTGGAAGACCTCACTTGTTAGTTAATTTATTCGAATTGCTAATTACTGACATAATTCAATTTCACTATTTATTTTGGCTTTTGGTCTATAAACACCTTTTTTAGAATGACTGTCTTGATTACTATGGATTATGGCAGTTTTTAGTATAATTATTATTTTTAGTGATTTTGTTTAATGAATTATTTTGAATGACCTGATTTCTATCACATTTTAAAATTAAATGGATAATTCATATTGGATTATGCTTAATACGAATTTGGACGAGATTCTCACACATTACAGATTTGGGGGCACTGACGAAAACACACTGTTTTGTAGTTAATTGATTTTTTTAATATAATCAATTTGTGGCATTTTGAGCTCAAAAACAGGCTAATACATTTACTTCTCTTGATACACCCCCCCCCAAAGAGACTAAACCAGGATATGTAAATTCCTCTCTTATTGCATTTGACTAACTTCAATTTTTGCAATTATTATTTATTGAATTACAAAACTGGATTTGGTTTCTCAGCTTTTCATAATGGTTATTGCTTCTGCAGCACAATTCAATTATTATCAACTACAAGTTTAATATGTACTAAATTTAATTTAGAAACATTTTAATAAATATATACAGTACAAAGTCCAAGATCCAGATGTCCAATATCCAGAATGATCTAAAATCTGGACCTTAAAGCCACCAACTTTATTTCATGCTTTACACATGCACACTTGATCCCCCCCCATAATAAAAACATGTGGAAAGTCCCAATTCATAATTTCATTTCAGCACTAAATCACATACCTTGTTATTGAAGAAACAGTCATTTTAACATAAATTTCTGTGATCAGAGAAATTTGGCTCCATAGCTGTGTACCTGCTTGGCATACATCTCAAACCAAAACATTCTACAAAGAAACAGCCTTGATATTTTACACCTACTATCTTACATCCCTGACACCAACCTGGCAAATCAATATTTATTACATTTTACTTTCATCACCGAATCATCAACTTTAGTAAACCCATGCAGTGATGCATAAACAATTTTTTTTTGTTAGTAATTGAATAACAAAGGGTACGGTAACATTTTGTTGACATTACGCTTAGCGATGATTGCAGATTTAAGTTAAATGCACTAAGAAACGTTATGAAGGAAAAATTTAACAAAAATTTCATCCCATATGCTAAAAATTGATTTTGTTAATGATATTCATAGGCCAAAAGATTACATTTAGTGCTATTTGAATTAAGAACAACTGTTTTGTTATTCACATAAACCCAGAACCGCCACCAGAGCTTGTAAGGCCGTACCAGGCAGCAGAATTAAGGAATGACAAAATTTTTGGAATTTAGAGAAGCACCAAGCAAAAAAATTTTTAGAATTTAGGAAAAGCACTGGAACCCAAAATTTAGAATTTAGGCTCTTGTTAGCAGAATTTTGGACGCTTAGAGACTGCATTAGGCGATAAGATATCTAGCGCTGGCCTTAAGTATGTGTGGAAATTTATTTATTCAGGACTCAGATAAGCCTTGAGCATGTGCAAGAAATAGACGTAAGTATAATAAATAATTAAACTAATGCAATTCATGTTTGTCTCAATGCACGACAGAAGCAAGACAAAATTTAGCAGATCAACTTTTCTTTCATCATTAATCTCATGATATGTAGCCAATAATGTACAGCCTACACTACAAAGCTATGCTAAAATTACACTTTACTGATTCCAAGGAATTTCAGTTAATATAGCAGATTGTGCTGTTGCTTTCCGATTTGATCCAGCTTATTACTTTTTTGAAGGCTGTTATAATTAAAGCAATTTTATGAAAAAGTCTTAACTTTCAATTGTGTGAAAAAGAGTTTAATTCTGAAACTGCAACAGGATCTACAAAGCGAAAGCATGCTTCCATGTCTATTAAACAAAAAGTGGTATTACTGCAAAAAAGGTATATCTGTCTCCAAAATTATGCAACAAGTATGGAATTGGAATGCCAACTGTATATGACATAAAAAAACAAAAAAACAGAACTTTTTTAATCTTTTGCAGAATCCGACACTCCACTTGCAATGAATAACAGAAAAATTTTTCTTTATGCTATAAGTGATGATTGAATGGGTCAGACTTTGCAGCAAGAGCATGCTATTGATGGGCCCAATGCTAATGGCTCAAGTCAAAATATTACATGAAGGAATGAGCTTAAAAACTGAGTACACATATTAACAGGTTGGTTAACCAAATTAAAAAACCACCATGGTATAAGAACATGGCTATTAAAATTTTCATGTGGAAAAGCTTCAGCTGATACTGAACCTGCTGAAATATTTGCAGATGAATTCATTGAACTCATTAATAGTGAAAAGTTATGTCCAGATCAAATTTACAACACAGATGAAACTAGTCTTTTTTGGCAATATGTACCGCAAAATACCTTGGCAACCTCTACAAAAAAGGCTCCAACTGATGTCAAATATTCCAAATAATAGACCAAATATAGACTAACAATGTTAGCATTTGCAAATGCTGCAAGAATGCACAAGTCTAAACTTTTCGTAACCGGAAAAAATAGATGACATCAAGCATTTAAAGGACTACAGATGAAAGTTTGAAAATCATTTCATACCAGAGGTTCATGAACACCTGAATTTGGTTGGTTTACCTGATGATGCAAAAACTGTAATGATTGTGCATAACTGTTCGGCTTATATTTCACGAAGTTTTAATGAAAGATAATGTATCTGTATTATTCTTTTCTTTAAATCATACATCCATCATTCAGCCTTATGAATATTTAAATACTGTGTCCTCTGAATGCAAATATAAAGTAGCATTTTTAAAATCCCTGTTAAATTTCTTGAATAATGGCAAAACTACTCAAGAAATTTTGAAATATTTTAGCATAAAATCTGTTATGTACAGCAAGATCATGGGAGGATGCATCTCCAGATACTTTAAAAAAATGCTTGACATAATTTATGGCCAGTTACCTTATTTTATGGTGAAGAATATAATCATGATAATCGCAAATTTGAAGATTTTTGGATACTGCAAACCAAAGGTGAAATTTTCCAATTATTGGATTTTGTAAAGAAATGTGGGGAAGTGGTAATAAATGAAGATGATTTAACAGAAATTTTTATTGCAATGACAATACCCCAATCATAAATCATTTAATTAATGGACGGCAAAATCTACAGTATGGTTCTAGACGCAGAAAATACCACTACCAATAGTGAAGAAAGTGACACAGAGGTTATTGAAAACAAATTTCAATTGACTAGTTAGTCGGAATTCATGACGAACAATGCAACTTTGCAACTGAACAAGAAATTATTTGTGTCCATAAAATTAAAGAGAAAGTATTAGCATAAAAAATAAAGCTACTTAAACAACTTACATTGAAGGAAATGTTTAATAAAGTAAACAAATATATATTCGGCTCCTTTTGTGTGTGTGTAAATTTTGATATCCTTTAGATCATAAATGCTTTATTATATCATGATTTTATATTTTTAATTTTACAATTTCTACATGCCATCTTACTAGATTTAAACTGATGACCTAATATCTGGAGAAATCCCAAGTCCAGAATCACCAAAGTACCAACAAGTTCAGATCTTGGACTTTGTACTGTACTACTTGTCATTTTTAAATCTGACATTAAAAACTTTTGCATGTTGTTATCAGAACTGAAACTTTAAGTAATACTTTAGAAAATTATTTCAAGGCAACTTCAAATCAACAACTAGTATTTTTATACATTAATTTCTGATTTATGCATAAAGAAACAAAATTTAAAATGTTACCTTAAAAGCAGCCAGCAAATGATACCTAGACTATGAATTTTCTAGATGTTGCTAAATGTAGAAAATTGATAGAAAATCTTAAAAAGCTTATATTCCATAGATCTGGTAAACAATGTAAAATAACTAGATAACATTACTTCTCCAGATCTGTAGACTTCATTATTAAGAACACAATTATCAGTTACAGTATTCAATAATAAAAATTAAGATATGCAAAATAACAGTAAAAACAAATTCAAATTTTAATCGCAAACTTTTAGACTATATATTAACTAGACAGATAATTCTCAGTATGTTTGCTAGGACGGGCAACACTTTCTGATGGCAGGTAAATCATCTATTTGCTACTGACATGCAAAACATGGCCATAATTTTTCTAAGAGTTAATAGACAAATTAAATTAAAATACTAATTAGATAGCATTTTCAGATTGCAAAATGACTTCACTTTGTTAAAAATAACAATACAATCAGTTAATTGCAGAATAAAAATAAATTAGTTCTAAAATACTGAATTTTTATTTCAACACATAAACATGAAAATTTCATTTGATACGTGACATAGCAATCCAAATAATTTATATTTTTCAACTGATAAATAACTCATTTCATTGTGTAAACTATATCTCACACTTCTTCAAATTCATGTACGTAAAGTCTTTAAATTTATAAGCATACTTTCATGCTTTTATCGTTTAAAAAAATTATATTTCAAAGGAAAGAATATATTCATATAATTTCAAATTATACATAATATTTCATCGGGAATACTTATACAAATTCATATATATATATACACATATAAAGCCTTAAAATTTTTAAACAGGCTTTTACTTCTATGCAAAAGAACTTGTACTTCAAAGCGACACTTTTTGGCTTTACAGTAGTTACATTTCAAATGAAATAATATATTCCAACAATTTCATTTACATTTGAACAAGTACTTGTAATTAAAATATTTTTCCCACAAAACTCGCATAACAACCACCTTCACAAATGAAAGTGCTTTTTGACAAATATGAAATAAATACAATTGATATGCAGCAGTAAAAAATAGTACGTTGTTTTTAAATGTATCAGTTTTGAATAATTTGATTATAATATTCACTATCTTCCACGGAAGTACATTTAAATGTTTTCAAAACTTTGAAAAATTGATCTTTTATTTCAATAACAAAAAAATACCAAAATATCAGTTAAAAGACTTAAAGGGTCCAAAATAATTCTTAAGAAAATTAAACAGTTAAGAAAGACATTATGGAATGCATCTCAGCTCACACATTATTGATTTCGATTACACTGCTTTCATATATAAATCTCGATAACATATGACAATATTGCATAGTAATTCATGGACACCTTTTTGTAAAAGGGAAGAATTATTAGCTTGAGAGTGAAAGCAGAATAACATATTACATATTTTCAAACACATCTTTTTAATGATTATTACAAGCACACAAAACTAAAAAACATAACAAGAGAAATATTTAACATCAGAAACTGAATATTATTCTTGGAACTTAAGTTATGAAATTGTAAACATAAACGCAAAAAAAGTAACTTGTTTGATTAGATATTTGACACAAAGTATCTCAATGGCCAATTATGACTGGATTTCATATTAATGGAAGCATACTAAAAACAGTTAGGAAGCAAAAAATTCTGAATTTACACTGTACAAATTACATACATATTGACAAAAATATGCTCCAGGACAATTGTACAAAAGGGGTTTTTTTATACTGTACATAATATCACTGCAAGTTTATCTACTTTTTATGCACATACATGAAGGGCAGTAATTTAGAAAGCTGCATACTTAGAGAAAATCAATCACAGAAATGCCACTGCCACTCGATGCACATTATACATAACTTATTATATACAACACTAATCACACACTTCACAGTTGTTCCCTTGCATTCTTAGAACCAAAGCTTGAACATCTTGGTCAAATTCACAAAGCTAGGAAAATAAATTACTAACAGCTACTCTGCACATTACATACACAGATGGCACTTATCAGTTAGTTCTTGGATTTGAAGTTTTTAATTCTGAAAGAGAAAAAAATTCATAAATTTGAAATGTAACTGTAGTAAAATTTTATTCATATGTAAACTTCTAAGCACTACTAATTTAGAAAAATACAACAGATCAATCTCAGAGCATATATTCATTTTATTCAACATAATAATAAACACATAAAAAATAAATTGAAATATTTTTAGTCAGAATGACTTGAGAAATAAGATTATAAAATTGAATAATTTAATGTTTTTAAAACACAGCTCAAGCAAGCTATGATACAACCACAAATAAAACAGAAACACTAAACTTATGCTTTATTTCTTTAAATACTTCTTATACTCCAACTAATCCATGTAAGTCTCACCCTCTTACACTTTTCTCCGCGACTGACATTAGCGCACTACTGCCTAATTTCCAGTGTCTAAAACAAACTTCATTTTGAAGTTGACCTTGAAAAACATAACAAAGTTCGCAAATTAAAAAAAAAAGACATTTTCCATGTCAGGAGTATATTTATCATTTGCTGCAGCTTGTAGGATGTACTCACATTCACTTTTGTAAAGTCTGGATGTATGATAAAATTCTTTGCCTTAATTATCATAAAAAGCAACTGTTTCGTGAGAATGAAATGAAAAGAATCAAACAGGAATCAATCTGTTTGGTTACCAGTTGTTTTATAGTAGACTGCACTCTGAAGAATATCACCAATTCTTAAGATCAGGAGGTAGGAAACCGAATGCTATTATTAACTTCTTAGTTAAGTCTTTGATGCACACAATATTATTTTTATAATGTTTGAACTAAACTCTGGAAAAAGAATATTATAATCCTAGTGACAAAGAATAATGAATTAAAAAAAAAAAAATCTACAACTGCCCATTCATCTGTGTGTCGTGGCCGCACTTCGAAACCAGTGCAGGTCTAGCACTTTGCTGAGGTAAAATTTGCTGAGGTAGTAGAGAAAAAACTTACTTTGATCCATGTCCATTTCCAATAAATGATGAAATTTGTGAATTAAAAAAAAAAAAAAAAAAAAAAAAAACTGTATTTAAAAATTGTATTATATATATATTACATTATTTTGCAATGTAAATTGTCAGAAAAAATGGAAAAATAAACATTTATGTAATTTTTCTTCAGCAATGAAAACATAAGAATGCAATTAATAAAGATGTTCAGATAAAAGGACAATAAAAACTCTGTAAAGTAAGGATTAAAAAACTTGGCTTTTTTTTTTTTTTTTTTTTTTTTATTATTGCCAGAAAATAAAGTTATTTTTGGTGAAACTGTTCATAGCATGTTTTGACTTTTTGGTACGCGCATAGACCAATATTGCACATTTTGCACATGTATCTGGCTCTATGAGGTTTCCTCCTTAAGCTACAAAATGTATACCACCAGGATTTCAATTTATTGGCATATGTTCTGTGTTTTTTTAACACTTTTCATCTGGCACATGAAGTTTGTGGTTTTCTACGTTAATAGAAAGCTTGGTCTATTTTACTTTAGTACAGATTGTTTCCCATTTGTATCATACTGCAAATATCCATCATTAATGATTTAAGTATTTTTAAATTGGGCTCACTTTCTGGAAGCATCTGATACATAATGAAGGTTTTATAATGGTTATAAGGTACTTTCTCCCTCCTTTCAGCATGCCTTCGTGGCATAACAGCACACTCTGTGCATATCGAGAAGTACAGGTTCAAGGCTCAGAGAGGGCACTGCTCATTTTTTCATGTACTTCAAAAACTCCTATTTATCTACAGTGGGGCCTGAACTAAAACGGTGGTAGATAATGATGCTTCACCACCAGGATAACCCCTAAATCCCAGTTATCCTTTAAAAGGGGGAGTATATAAAGTATTTTCTCCCTCCTTTCAGAATGCCTTCGTGGTATAACGGTAACACACTCTGCATATATTCGAGAGGTCCAGGGTTAAGTCCCGGCAAGGGCATTGCTCATTTCTTCAGTTTTCTGACATTAAAAAAAATCCTTCTGTCTTTACATGGTGTTATCAAAAAATCCTAATGTCTTTTTACATGGTGACATCAATAAAATGAAAAAATTCAATGCCACCATTTTTTACTCATTCTGTCAATTTCATATAAGCTTTTTAATAGCTCAAAGTAGTCCACATAGCCTATTATTTTTATTATAATTGCCTTTCGACACAATTTGAATGGATAATTATTATTACCCTTTGTATCTGAACTTGCTTTTTGCCCCTTTCCTTTCTACGGTTAAGGGAATAACAGGATCTACTAGACTAGATAAAATGGTAACACATATTTTGTCTTTCCCTTTTAGACAAGCTATTTTGTCATCACTTAATGCACAGTCAAGGTCACCCTGTTTTAATTTCTTATCTTCCATCAGCATTTTGGGATACTTTTTTCCATTTATATTTACAGTTCTACAACAAAATACATTTTTTGTTTATAAAAACTTTAAAGGTTCATAAGATGCAAAAAAATTGCCAATGTACACCCTTTGATTTTTACCATACAAGGGCTCACTTATTATTTTTACCACTCTTTCACTGAGCCTCTAGAGCACTGTGAAGATCAGATATTCAGAATGCTCTACTGGCTCAGTAGTCCTGCCTTGAAACCACAAAGCAAATGCCACACATATACACAGGTTGTTCATATTCACAGTTTAATTATTGCTAAATTTTTATTATTTATGATATAAATGATGATGTGAGAATAACTTTTGGAATTTAAAGTTGTTTATGCCAATAAAAGGAAGTTGTCTCATTGAAAAAAGAATTTTAAAATGCATCTGATTTTAAGTACCAAGACCTGAAAAATGTGTGGTTCTGCGGTCGTTTTGCATTACTTAGAGGTAAAAGGTAAGTAATCAATCCGTTTTCACTCAACAATTTCAGAAAGGAGATGGGGGGGGGAGAAGATTTTGAAAATTGGTGGCTTCACGGCACAACCACCATTTGCCAAAGGGTTAGTTAATCAAAAACTAAAGTATAAGAACATTTTCTGAGATGAATGAAAACAGTGCTTTGGGTTATAATCTTTTGAAGGTTTCCAGAAGACAAATATAATCAGAAGACCTCTTCCAGAACAGCTTTTTTAAGGGAACTCTGTAAAGAAGTTTTCTATGAGTTGCATACGAATTTAGCAAAAATGCATAGTAGTCGTAATCTCATACGGAGAACTTGCCATTTGGAGGTTTACCAATTGGTTCTAAACACTGTAAAGTTACAGATGAAAAGGAAAGCTTTGTAGATAATGGTTCTAAATTTGGATGCAACTAGTTTTTAATCAAGGATTTCACCAAGATCATTTGGGACTGAAAGAGACAAATGAAAACAAAACATCAAAAGTAAACATGAAAATATCAGGATCGATTGCTTTTGGAATTTACAAGCATTCTGGCAAGCAGTATATCAACGAAAATAACACTTCCTTCATTAAATGCCCCTTGGGAACATCCTATTCAACAACCAATGGGGCACAGCCAAAATCATCAACAAATTCTGGTGTAAAAGTAACCTTCAAATCAGAAACATACTAGAAATTGCCGTTAAGCCAAGCTATTACAGAGAACTATATTTTAATCTATCATACATTTGAACACTAATTCCGAGAAGTACAATCATCCTGCGCAAAGTAACTTTGCAGGAAACAACAATAAAAGAATAGGAAACTGAGTATCCATTCCAGTTTCAGCTGAGAAATCTGACAGGTAATCCCTGAAAGCTCTCCTTTTATTAATGTTTAAATCTGGTTTTAGGATGTCACCACAGAACGCAGCTTTTTGATTTTTCAATGTGTCTTTGGCACACACAGCTTATTGATATGGATCCAGCAGATGGTGTTCAAAAATGTATATTAAGGCCTAAAAACACAAGGACTATATTAACATCTTTGCTATTACAAATTAAGTTACTATAATCTACAGAAATAATGTCAACAAGAACTTATACCCATAAGCATTCAAGATTAAAAACAGAACTTCAAAAGCAACTTGAAAATTGTTAAATGGTAAGAAGAAACTTCATTCAAATTAACATAACAGGCAACAAAAAGACATGGCTAAATTGGTATTAGAACCTTATGCTATATACCAAAAGTTGAATCCAAATATTCCTTCTCCTATCGTAACAATTTCTTAAAAAATAATGATAAAGATTACCATAGCAATAGTAAAAGCCAAAGAAAACGAATTTCCCAGAAAAGCAAGATGCGTAATAGTCTTACAAGGTATTTCTCTCCCACTTTCCCAGTGTGCCTTCATGGTGTAGTGGTTCTGCATGCTGGGCCAGTATTCCAGAGGTCCATGGTTCTATTCCCAACGAAGGAGTTTGCTAATTTTTCATCACCCGGCTTCCAAAAATATACCTAATGTTTCTACAGTGGCACCGGAACTAAAAGGGTTGTGGATGATGACTCTCTTCACCCAGGATTTGGCGATTGGGTCCCCTAAAAAACCCAGTCGCCCTTTAAAAAGGGGAGTATATAAGGTATTTCTCTCCCACTTTCCTAGCGTACCTTCGTGGTGTAGTAGTTCTGCACACTGAGCCGGTATTCCAGAAGTCCGTGGTTCGATTCCCGGCGAAGGAGTTTGCTAATTTTTCATCACTCCAGCTTCCAAAAATATACCTAATGTCTCTACAGTCTATCTAAAAAGGATTTTAGACAGCCCAAAACAGAATGCCAAAATGTTGTTAATCTTAAAGACTTAAATTCCTATGCATATTAAGATCCTTTCCAAGGACTTTCAAAAATAGAAAATGCTATACAAATTATTGGAAATATGATAACAGTTAATAAGAACATCATGGATTTTCCTGTATCCGTCATTAGAAAGAAAATTACTTTTTCAATATTTAAATAAGAAAACACTTTTCTATGAATAAATTTAATATTTGGAAAAGAAAGTTCATGACCAAAAAGAAATCAAGGTATACAAGGATTGATAAAAGAAGTGAAACAGACATCACTGATAAAGAATTGAAATAAATATTTACAGGATACTAAATATTTTGTTGGAGATGGTAAC